CTCCCTGCAGGCCACCCCGCACCGCGACATCAGCCGCCGCGTGGCCTCCTTCCGCTTCGAGCTGCGGGAGGACTGGCGTCCAGAGCTGCCTCCGCAGCCCACACTCTGGGCGCGGATGGCGAGTGACGGTCTGGGTGGGAGTCGGTGAAATCGCGCCCTACCCGGGCCCTGTGGGAAATGCCTGTGGTCCCCACCACACAGGGAGGAACGTCAGCGGGAGGAAGGGCAGTGACTCATCTTGGGGAAAGAGCCGGCAGGTGCAGAATAGGGGGAAGGGGGGGGCCAGTCTCGGCAACCCAGGTCCCTAGCCCCTAAGGGGTTGGGGTTGATGGGCGGGGGATCAAAACCTCAGGCCAAAGCTTTCCAGGACACTCTGGCCCAGCGGGGACCTCCCTCCCCTCCCCCATCCCAATATAACACAAGTCCAGTGTGAGCCTGTCACCGTGGAGATGCCCCACCTCCCGGCAGGGCAGCAGGCCCAGCTCTTTGCTCTCCTGGAGCTTAGAGCCTGACCCCATAGCGGGTGGAGTGTCTCTGTTCTGCCTCCTGGCTCCGTGTCCATCATATCCTACTGCTGACCCCCCTCCCCCCACCTTCCAGGCTGGTGACTGGGCCCTGGACACAGCTCTGGGAGCCCACAGGGGTTACTGCATATGCAAGATCTGGGAGCCAGAGCTTGCATCAGGACACTGAGCTGCAGGTGGGGTGTGCTAGGCACAACCCTCAGGCCCATGTATATGCACGTGTGTGGGTGCATGCATGAGCCTGCAAGCATCACCCCGAATGCAGGGGGTCTTCAGGGTTGGGGGTCTTCAGGGTTTGTACGCATGTGCTCCCTGGGACCCCAACTGCCTCATGGCCCGGAGCCTCCATTTGCACCCCACTGCACTGTGGTGTCTGGTCATTTGCTGTTGCCCTCCTGCCTCTGGTTGGTGGGAGGAGGCCTGGGGGAGGGGGGTCCAGGAGAAGGCAGGACCTACCCTGACCATCTTCCCTGCATGCAGGTGCCTGGAGGCCCTGTAATGACACTGAGCTCCTCTGGCCTTGTGCACTGGCGACTTTGGTGAGAGGCCCTGCCACGCCAATGGGGCAGAGGGGGAGCCGGGGGCCTCCCCTCTGTGCGAGCCACTGGCCAGGGTGCCTCCCCCTAGTGATCCAGGGGACCCTCCACAGGATTGCCCACGACACAGCTGCAGGCGTCTGTTGTCACTGTGGCAGCTGTCCGGGTCCTCCGCCAGGCACTGCCGCTGTTCCAAGTGGGGGGCTCTGGGGGCCCGGTCCCGGCCTCCATTCGCACCCCACTGCGCTGTGGCATCCGCCCTGGCCCTGGCACTTTCCTCTTCATGGGCTGGAGCCATTTTGGTGAGGCCTGGCTTGGCTGTGCACCCCGCTTCCAGGAATTCAGCCGTGCCCGTACCAACCACCTCTGCCCCTTTGGGGTGGCGCTGGACTGAGGGATGTGGGAGGAGGGCTCTGGAGAGAGGCCACGAGGAGGGTGGTGGGGACGGGGAGGTCTCCAAAGGGCGTCACAGTACCAACTGCTTCTGAGGGAGTGGCAATGACCAGTAAGAATACTGACTTCAGTAGTCAATGCAGGTCGCGTGTCTGGTACCAGAGCCCAGCCTCCTTTACACTGCGGGAGGCTGAGGGCTGTGGCGTCTTGTCTGAGGCCACCCAGCTGGTGAGTGGGGCAGTGGCCCATGCCCGTGCCCATGCCCTGGAGAGGGGGTGCTGCTGGGCGGGGCGGGCATGGACTCCCCCCCACATGAGCTTCGGCTCTGCTGCTCCTGCCCCCACTGTCAGGTGCTCCCAAGACTCAGAGCGGGAGTGGGAAAGGGGACCTCACTCCCAGGGTCTGAGGCAGGTTGCGTCCCTTGGGGCAGGAAGGTCAACATCACTCCCAGCCTGGGAGGAAGGGGGCTACCCTTTGACTGGATGCCTACTTCTCTCTGTGGTTCCCTGGGAGCCCAGCAGTCCCTGGCTCCCTCCTGCCCTCCGGCCCCTGCAACTGGCTGAGCTGCTTGAGGTGGTGTAGAGCCCATGGGATCCCTTGTGGGGTCCTGCTTGTTGCTGTTCCTCTAAGGAGCATTTCCCACCACTGGCCCCATTTTTAAAACAAAGTTATTTTATTTGTTCACTTGTTCACTGATGTGATATTCACATGGACTTTTTTTAAACCAATTTTTTGTTTGATTGTTTTTTAAAATATTTTTACTGATTTCAGAGAGGAAGGAAGAGGGAGAGAGAGATAGAAACATCAATGATGAGAGAGAATCATTGATTGGCTACCTCTTGCACGCCCCCCACGAAACCCAGGCATGTGCCCTTGACTGGAATCGAACCCGAGACCCTTTAGTCCACAAGTGGACGCTCCATCCACTGAGCCAAACCGGCCAGGGTTGGCCCCATTGTTGCCCCTGCCTTCCTCCCTCTTCAGCCACATAAAGGGTCAGTGATTTTGGACAAAGCTGGCAGCCCTGAGGCTGACGTGCGGGGGCTGAAGCCCGGAGTGCGGGGGCTTCTGACCCCTGAGTGAGCTCACTCTGCTCACCCCCGCCCCATAATTCCCAGGAAAGAAAAGCTCAAGTCTGGGGAGATGCCTGGGCTGAACCCTAGAAATAGCTTCCCATCCTCACCTGCCTTCGCTGCCGGGGAAGAAGCCAGGGGTGCGGGTGGGAGCCAGGGGTCCTGCCTGGTTTCAGACAGGAACTGAGTCTGGGAGAAGGACAGGGCTGTGTCCATACACAGGACCCCTTTCTCCAGATTCAGGGGGCACCGAGCTTACCATGGAGTGCTGCCTGGAAGCTGTGTATGCATGGGAGGGGGGTTGTCCTTTTACTCTCTGTGGGGCTGATGGGAGGGGGTACAGCCCCCCTGGAAGGCAGGCCTCATGCGGCTTCCTCCCACCTCTGCCCGTCCTCCCCTCCTGAGCTTACCATCCTCACCTCCCCAGGCTCACGGCTTTAAATGCCATCAATGTGCCGATGACCCCTGCATTTTGGTCTCCAGCTTGGACCTCTCATGGACTACAGACCTAGCATCCTACAGACACCCCCACTCCCCAACCAGAGAGTATCTTAGCAAAGACCGGAGGAGGAGGAAGTGAGGGACCCTGACCAGCCTCCTCCTCCCTGTCTTGGGCAGGCCCCGAGGAGGGCTCCCCCACAAGGCTGAGCTGCACCCTTATCCTCGGGCCTGCCCTGTTCTTGGGCCAGCTCCCCACAGCTTCTCAGGAGGCCCTGGCCACATCCACTGGTGACTGGACTGCCTCTGACCGCCTGTCCACAATAATGGGCAGCTGCTCTGAGTGCGCCCTAGGTGGACACTGGCAGCTACCCCCCACCCCAAGCCTTGCCTGAGCCTCTATGCACCACCCTCTTTCATAGGTGCACGAAGGGCAGGAGTGGGTATGGCTAGCAGGGCCACTGGAGCCCTGGAAGTTTTGTTCTTTTAAAAAATATATTTTTAGCCGAAACAGGTTTGGCTCAGTGGATAGATGTTGAGAGAGAATCATTGATTGGCTGTCTCCTGCACACCCCTCACTAGGGATCAAGCCTGCAACCTAGGCATGTGCCCTGACCGGGAAGCAAACCCTGACCTCCTGGTTTATAGGTCAATGCTTAACCACTGAGCCACACCAGCCAGGCTGGAGCCCTGGAAGTCTTGGGCCAGGGGCTTTGCTTGCCCTGGGGGAAGTGGCCGAGGGGAACCAGTGTGATGAGCCTGTGGGCTGGCGCTATGGAAGCTGGCCTTTGGGGCACCTGTGAAATACTTCAGGGTGTGTGCATTCACATGGAAACACACACACACACACACACATGGCTGCCCAGTTGCCCAGAGGCGGAGGAGCAGAGTGTCAGATGTGAACTAGAGAGAGTTGGGTATGGATGCTGGGGGAGCCAATTAGATGCCTACATTTAGTCAACAAACTTTCTTTTTTCTTAGATTTCAGGGAGGAAGGGGGAGAGAGAGAGATAGAAACATCAATGATGAGAAAGAATCATTAATAGGCTGCCTCCTGCACGCCACCTACGGGGGATGGAGCTCACAACCCTGGCATGTACCCTTGATTGGAATGGAACCCGGGACCTTTCAGTCCTCAGACCGACGCTCTATTCACTGAGCAAAACCAGCTAGGGCCATTCAGTGATTTTTTTAGTTTAAGTTCTTTCTTTCATGTTTCAACCCCTATCAGTTTGACATTTATCTAAACCAAACTGATTTATTCTCTAGTGCTTTCTAAGTAACAAGTCTGACCAAAGCAGGCCATACCATATTCTCCTAAATTTAAACATTGAGTAGAAAAATTTCCTTAAAAGGAGAGTGCATATATCCCAACACATATGCATGGATACTTGCTAACATAAGATAATTACAAGCAGTTAATTTCCAAACTGGGATTTAAAAATCTGTGGAAATCTGAATTTCCAATGCAAATTCTTACCGTAAGGATTACAGGGCTAGTTATTTTTTTTTTTAAACTTATGTTCCTCAGTATATAAGGAAGTCTTGGCAAAGTACTAGTTGTGCCATTACCAGGGTACAGGGATACGACGGCGCCTTTTGGTGCCAGTCCTTCAGTAAAGAAGACACCTTTTCCAGCAGAAACCAATGAGCTAGTTGCTTGGGCAACACTGAAACCCAATGTCATAAAGAATTTCTTCTGGTTTAAAGATATTTTGCTGATGATGTCTGTGTTCAAGCACGTTCACCCTCGGATGTTGAACTGACAGCAGGTCTTGATATTTCGATTGAACGGGTTCTGGAAGCACAGTCAAAATACCCAACTGGGGATTGAAATCATTTAAGAATAGGGTCTGGAAAACATGCAGTAATATTCCTAGGACATCTTCATTTGAGATAACTTTGTCTTTAAATTCCTCTGGAACACACCGGAGGGTCCTGGGGTTGTGATTTATGTTCAGCATGACCCAAGGTAGGAAGCGGTACCTGTAACTGTGCCACCACTGCCACTGCCACTGCCGCAGGCCCCGAAGCAGAACCGAGGGCGTGCCCGGCAGGGGTGGAGCCTAGTCAACAAGCTTTCTCTGAGTGCCTCCTGGGGCTGCAGGCACAGGATAATGCAAGAAAAGAGACAAGTGCTGTGTAAGACTCCCCAGCCGGGAGCCTAGGGCACACCCTTCCTTTCTGGGGAGGGCACAGTGACAGCCCCTAGGAGACAGGATTCTCTGAGCAGGTAGAGCTGGCCCGCCCTGCCAGCGCTCAGGTCTTCTGAGCGAGCAGGGCGTATCTGTTTCTTGCCCCACAGGGACTTCCAGCTGTGGGAGGGAGCCAAGAATCTATCCCTGCAACTGCTCCTAGGCTGGGCTTGCTTTTGGGGTGTTCTGATCGACAGAGCCCTCACCAGTCTCCCTGAGACAGTTGTATAGGGCCTGGCTGTGACCCAGTAATCCAGGCCTAGACGTTGCCCACCTGCAGTGAGCCCATTTCCCAGCGTCAACCTTAAAAACAAAACAGCTATTTTTATCAGCCAAAAACTAGTTTATTTGGGAATGGCAGAGGAATTGCAATTTGGGGCTTGCAAACTCTGGTGAATCACAGGCAAGTCTGGAGAACAAAGGCGAATGTTATTGTATAGAGAAAAAGGAAGTTGAGAGAGGCAGTTATAAGCAAAAGTCCATTGGAGTAGATAGAGCAGGAGTAGAGGGTGGTGGTGGCTTCTCATTGGCTGGGCTGTTGCTGGGTAAAGAGAAAAATTTCCTCCTGCTGGAGTAACAACGTAGGTTTCTTCCTTGTGTGAGTCTGCAAGGTGCAGTGAATGCAGGAGAGCTCCCCCTACAAGGTTTCCTGACTCCAGTTTTATAAGGCCTCCTTCATTCTTTCCTACGTTTTCCCCTTTGATCAAGACCTTTCTCTGAAAGCATCACTGACCAATAATGGGTTTTCTACATTAGGTAGTTTTGTCCCTGAGTCGGGAAGCACCTTTCCTGGTTGCCACGTTCCATGTAGGAGGGAAAGTGCATAGGGATTGGAAATGGTTAACGAGGAAGGGCATTCCCATTGAAAGTCTAGCCTATCAGTGTTAGAAGCATTGCAGAGCATCTCAAAGCAACGAGCCGGCATCATTTAGGGCACCATTTCCACAGAATCTTGACAGATAACAGGTACAAAGTTTGAAAATTATACAAACAGCCCTGGCCGGTGTTCTCAGTGGTTAGCACATCACCCTGTGCACCAAAAGGTCATGGGTTTGATTTCCAGTCAGGGCACATACCTAGGTTGCGGGTTCGATCCCCAGTTGGCGTATGTTCATGGAGAACCAATTGATTGATGTTTCCCTTTCCCGCTCTCCATAGAATCAATGAAAAACAAATCCTCGGATGAGGATTTAAAAAAAAGAAAAGAAAATTATACCAAAAAAAAAAAATTGAGCAGATTATAATCCACTTTGTATACTGGTCCTAAATCAGGAGCTCAGACCTGAGGTAACCAGCTAAATAGGTCAAAGGACCATGGAGAATCAGGTGAAATTTGCTGTAACCATTGGACTCGTTCCCTGAATTTTGAGTAATTGGGTTTCTATTTATCCAGAAGAATTTATCCATGTGCAGCAGATGGTGTTTGCTATTGCAAACTAAAACATGGTTCTTGTCTTTTTTTAAAATCCTCATCTGAGGATATTTTTCCATTGCTTTTCAGAGAGAGTGGAAGGACAGAGAGAGAGAGAGAGAGAGAGAGGAGAGAGAGAAATATCTATGTGAGAGAGACATCAATTGGTTGCCTCTTGAACAAGCCCCA